AATATTTTGATTTTTTATTTTATTATTTAAATAAATGTCCAATTTTATTTATAAGTATATTTTTATTTATTTTATTTTATATAAAGTGATGTGGCAAAAAAACGCATCATATGCCACATCGTCAGTCAAAATTTTGACTGTTGACCACTAACGGTCAAAGTTAACGGAGACCAAACTTGAGGACATAAGTGACGCGGTATAAACATAGGGGTACAAGTGACCTAAACCCTAAACTATGGGCCCTTTTCTGGTATTAGGCCTAATTTATATGGAAAGCATTTAAAATATTTGTTATTTTCATTATAAGACCAAGAAACAAATCATAATATGATAAAATGTAGTTAAATTATTGGAGAAATCGAGGTTTTCACTATTTACAACTTTATAATAGCTATAATAGCTAAAATATGATGTAATAAAAGGAAAATATTAAGTAATTTTGCTAACATTACATGTAATTTAGGGAAGAATGAGTCAAGAGTGGGACGAGTCAGGACAGGTCAGGTCGATGAGAATACCTATGCCCATCCCGCCACGCCTACGGAAGCGGGTTGGACACGATATAAAACAAATCAAACAGATCAGATAAAACATGTTAGATCGAAATTGTCATCCCTACTGCGGGTGGAAGGAAGCACCATGCCGATTGCGATGCTAGAAGAAGTGGGGACTAGGGATGGCAATGGGTAGGGTTGGGTGCGGGTTTACCCTATACCAACTCCTAACCTGTCGGGTAGAGCCTTCTAAAATACCCGACCAAATAACCACCGGGTATGAAAATGATATAACCGTACCTTACCCACCGGGTAACCACGGGTATTCAGGTAACCATGGGTACGAATCCTAAAATATGAACTTATACACATATATGCATATACATACTATTGTCCATTAAAAATTTTCAATACTTGTAAATGTTATAGTTTCAACAATCCACACAAATAAAAACAGCAAACACATAATAATTGTTCTTGCTTCTAAAATCCACACAAACAAAAACAAAATACATATTTGTTCTAGCTTCAACTATCCACACATAAACAAAAACAACAAAGACAATATTAGAACCAGACAACATCAAATGCTCACTGCTTAGCTTACGCTTCATGGCATCCATCAAGGCATCATTCGTAGAACAATTATCCAAGGTAATCCCAGATATCTTTGTGTCAATATCCCAAGCAAGTAAAGTTTCAAGAAGAGCCTAAGCAAGCACCTCACTTGTGTGTGGGCAAGGAAAATCGACTGCTGGGTAGGGTTAGGGCTAGGGAAATTGACCCTTTGGTTAGCGATGCGGGTATAACAAGGCGGGTATTATCGATTACCATACCTGTAACCTACCCTTCATTTTGAAACCGGGTATTACCCGTACCCGCCCCTTAACCCGTCAAAGCGGGTAATTACTATCGTTGACCGGTTACGGTCGGATAAGATACTATGGTTATGGGTTGAATTGAAATTCCTAGTGGGGACCGCTGCTTTCCGTTGTTTGGTCTGCAATCCACCTTACTGGGTTCTTGAACGGACCTCGGCTGTAATCTGGGGATGCTACAAACAAATTTTTTTATTATTTGGGCCGGATGAATATATATGCGAACTGGTCCAACTGCATAGCACTTTGGGCTTCAACTGTGTTGGTGATTGAAAGCCCATAACCCCTGTATTTGTTTATATACCAGACAGTGGAAACTTCGTTGGGCACAGCATAGCCCAAAATGTGTATTTGAGAAGAGGAAATGGTTCTTTGCACTATCAAACCCATCAAAGGGCAATACACAAAAAAGGTAAATAATCTGTAACAATAATAACTAGCTTATTACCCGGCCTGTTGGCCGGATTACTGTATGTTACCCACTTGTGGAATGGGAGAGAAAGCAAGTGAGAGTGAAGGGATTGAGATTCCACTTGATTAGGACCGACCCACTAATCCGATTTTTCACGACCCGCCCCAACCTAAAGGGTCAGAAATAATCAATAAGAGAATACGAACGGAGAGGATTAGTCATATATCTTGACTCTTCAGAAGTGAGTCAAACAGGATCAAGGTTGGGTGAGGGCAATTTTTAACGCTAAGCAGAGTTCTGGGTTGAATAACTTTACTTAGGCCTAGAAATTGGTGCTGATGCAGACTGCAGTTTTTATCATACCATCATCAATCATCATTGAATTAGTCATGGGCATCCCTCTCCGTTGTCGGTCTGAATTCTAATGATGGCTTCATTCCTTGCACCAGCCATATCAGCGAGTTGTCATCTCGAGCATGATTTGCCTATGTACAAATGATAAATTAGAGTATGAAACTGAATTCAAAGAAAAGGAAAAGAGAATTCTATCACATGCCAATAAATACACACATAATAGTTGAAGCTAAGTGAAAGTCATTACTCGCACATCAATTCTCAAAAATTACATACTAAACAATGGCTAGAATGGCACTGAAACTACCAAGAATCATGGACGAAACAACTTGTCAAATTAAATAATCCTTATACTAAAACTACCTTCTAACTTGAAATAAGACATGATCACAGTTCATAGCACTCTTATCACTATGAATTGGTTGCAGCTCGTCCTTATCACTGCCTCCAAAGCTCCATTCAAACAAAATAGAGACCGTTATGTAAGATAACCATATCCTTACTGATCATAATTCCTTTCTTCACTCCATTTTTGTCAGAGAAAAGAGTTATCCCCCTCTCTTCTTCCTCTTCTTCACAAACCGATCCCTAAACCAGCAACAACAACACAAAAATAGCCTTCGCCTCTGCCATCTCCATCTACTGAACGCGTTGGTGGCAAGACAGGACTGCAAAAGCAAATTTTTCTAAAATCAAACTAAATTTTTTGAAGGAGACTCAACCACGAAAAAAGAGTAATGCTAATAGTTCAGATGGTTGGTTTTGATGTTATACGTTGCTTTTGTTATGGTCTCTAGTATATCAACTGCAATAGAGATGTTTCCTCCAATCATCTTTAGTGCACGATTTAGAAGTAAGTCCTCTTGTTTGTGTCAAACGGAAACATTCATGGGTTCTTAACTCCCCTGTTAGTGTAAATGCAGCAGCAGCAGCAGCAAAGAAGTTTGACAACACAGCAATCACCGAGGCAAAGTGATACAATGCAGTAGGTGATATGTGTCTCGAAGGTTTTGAGATACTAAAGTTCATGTTAAAAATAAACATGAATTAAAATGGAATATTCTATTAAGCAAACATCCCCTCTAATCATACAAAGATCAGATATCCAATTCACAAACAATTAAGCCATAAAAAATCATCACACATCCACCACCTTTGATTGCCTAAATTTGGTTTTTCGCAAAGTTATGGACTCTTAAGGGTAACGTTCATGGGTAGTCTGTTTCAGAACTCTAGAGAGCATAGTAAGCAGCCACCAGCCAGACACAGTGCGGTAGGCGAATATGATTCTCAATTCACAATTTCTCACCACCGGAAGTAAGAACAGACCATAATAAGCGTAGCGTTCATGGGTGGTCTGTTTCATAGCACTACTACACAATTTGTTAAAAAAGAAAGAAAGGTATTTAGCATCACGGCGGAACAACTTTTACAGGCCAACAACGACAACATGCTGCAACCACCAGAACTGGTATCACAACTCATAGGGAAAATCAAAAGATTTACTCTCAAATTAAGTAGTTACAACATCGAGCATTAGTCAAGCACATACACCATCACAAAAGTCACGGAAGCTGATTCACAAAGCATTCAAACATTTGAGGACATTTCTGCAAAGGTATAACTTATATGTCTTTTTTCCAAGCCATTTCCATCAACATGCTAATAAATTTGCAATGCATAAAACAAACGGGCCAAAACTTGAAATTCAGCCTATTTGACCTACCCATGCCAAATTCTAATTATTCTTTACTTTTAAACTTTCTATTTGAAAATAAAAAATAGTGAAAGAAAAGAGACGACTACAATTCGCCATTTGCACATCACTTATTCGGGAATAAAACCATAGAAATTCAAAAGGAACTGAAAATGTTTAGGATCGTTTTAATGTTTAAAATAACCAAATAGATCTTTATGTTTAGTTTTTTAATAACAAATACCAAACGATTCCCTATAAAATACACTATAATTTGATCATTATGATGTCAAATAATTATAAAATATATATTTGAAATGATAAAAATTGGACTTATTGGGTTGGTCGAGGTTGAATAATTGAATAACTTTAAAATACATTATATTATAGCCACTAAGATATAAAATAATAGCATAATATATATTATGCCAAAGAAAATAGCTTGTTTTAGAATGGCAAACCAATGATGTTCATTTGTTTTACTTGATGGCCAAATCCCATGTAGGTCAGGCCCATTCAACTCTTTTATTTTATGGTTAGCGGTTAGCCCATTAGATACCATGCATTAGTTTATTGTTAAATTTTTATTTTTAACAATAAAAAGGAGTATTATTTTTGCCTTTTCATATATATTTTACACCACGGAGAAATAAAAGGGCTTAAAGAAAAAAATTGATACTCCTGGACCCGCTTAAATCCGCATGTGTACGGTAAGTTGGCCCGTTCCACAGAGGAAAGAGAAAAAAATTGACACTCACTATTCTACCCTTCCTACAAACGCTCATGGAGCAAGGAATTTGAAATGGGGGAAGAGTTTTTTCCAACCATGGTATTATATGTTTTTAATTTAAAAGGATACAACAAATGTACTTAGTGTGATTGGTTATGATCCTTACCTTTCTTTAGAATGGTTAAGGTTCAAATCCCAGTACATATCTTTTTAATGAATAAAAAAAAGTAATTGTGAAGACCAAAATGTCCTTCCTACTTTCACTCTCGTTGCAGGAAATTTGAAATGGGGCTCCCGTTTTTTCCTTCGGTGTATTATATTATGTGTAGACTAAATCGCTTGTTACAACAAATAATTACAGAAACATTAAAACAACTAATCTTAAGACTAGTTAGTTAGTTTAGTGGCATATCTTAAGCAACCATAGCTGAGAATTTCAGGGGGCTGCAAACGCGTCGTCCACCCACTTGACGACACAAACTGATTTGGGCCTACCGTTGGACTTGTCGTCTTTGTTACTATCGGGCCCGGAGAGCCCAAACAGACCGTGGATTGCTCCCCTCAATCTATTCATCCGCTTCCTCTGCCGGATCTGCCTCAGCACCGCCTCTTTATCCAGCGTCCCTGCCGTGTCCCCCGGCCGTATGCACACGTGGCTGGTGACTCCGCTGAGGATAACCCTTCCTTCTCCTTCTTCCGCTCCTTCATGATCCTCCGGAGGATTTCCGTCGCCTACTTCCGCCGTTGGCTGAGGTTTCACCACCGTGGAACGCATGTTGATGTACTTTCGGCTTGTGCTTGAATGGGTAATTAGGCTTGGGTTTGGAGGTTTGGGGTTTTCAGAATACTTGGGTAGTTCTGCTGGTTGAATTTATTTATAGGGTGGGTCACCTTAGGACACGGTGTGGATAAGGTCGGTTTCGGTGGCCTTGGGGAGGGCAACTGTTCTGTCTGAATCAGGTGGCAGCGGAATCCATTGGTTTTCTTAATCTGGGTGCTTTAAGAATGGCCGGAAGGTTAAATCCCATTTCTCCTATTATTATATTATTTCACTAACTTTAATATATTCTCTGTGTCGGCGACGGCATCACTGAATTGTCATATGTATATAAATTAATATTATATAAGCAAAATGATTCCATTCCAAAACCAAAGGTTTGCAACTTTCCTACCTAACAAATATTAGAAATTTGCCTTTGATAACCTTAAGTTATTATTATTGATAATGGATGGTTTCTTAGGATGACAAACAATAATTAATAATCCATCTGTGGGTATTCAATATAATCTGCATAAATTTGGTTTAGTAGATTTTCTTCAAATTCGATGAAGAGAGTATTGGGTGGTTTGCTTCGATTCTGATACTTTACGTATTCACATCGAACCCATTCAATCCGAATATATGCTACAACTATAATTTAGAATCACTCACTTCAACACTTCGATCATTCATATTCCATCAGGTACTATAATATTTTAGATCTTATTTTCTTCGCCTCTTTTTCTCCTTTTCATGAGGAATCAAAAGTTTATCGAAGCTCAAAGTAGACCCTGCTGGAGTTCTACAAATGTAATAATTACCCACTATACAAACCGCCTTTCACAAACCTGCTGACTACCACACACTACACAAAACTATAACTACCAATCTACCATTACTTATTACAAGAAAACCTTATCACAATCTAACATGCATTTCTAACCGCCTCTCCATACTGACTACTGAGTAGATCTCATGGGAGGGACAGTATGATATTGTTGAGTAGACCCTCCTGCTTGCTAGAACAGTAGAACTTGCATCATTCTATGATGTTCAACTGAGACGCTGTTAGCCTCTAACCGATTCTTCCTTTTGGCTTGTAACCTTGAGGGTTGTTAGTTTTCTAATAACAAACTTCCTCTGCGTGTTCTATATATCCAAAGTAAGTGCAGACTAGTTTCTTAGTACCTTGTTTCTTTGAAATGGTACAACCTCCGGACTTAGTATAGCTATACTAATTAACCATAGAGAAACATGGTTAAGCAGTAAGCCATCCCCCTATTATGTTGCACCATCATTGCAAAAACCTTGTTTAAAGTAGCCACGTGCCTAACAACATGGCCTAATGTCACGACTGTTTTCTACGGATCGAGAAATTGGAGGATTCGACAATACAAGAAACGAAAGCACACACCTGACATACGATTTACGTGGTTCACTAACACAATGTGTGTTAGCTAGTCCACGATACTTCGAGGAGATACAAATTATAGAGCAGTATGAGAAGTATTTATAGGACCCCGTGACTTCCTGTCATAGCAGCCGATTATCCGATTCAAGTCACGTCAACAACCATAATCTTGACCCATCGAAGTTATCATTAAAATTTCTTTGAAAGTGAATAACTTTATGAATGGACCTTCCAAAGAGGAGCTAGGACCCAGGAGCAGATTGGTCCGCAATTAAAATTAGGAATTGATATGAAATTACCCAATTGGTACCAAAGTACTCATTGTCTATAACACTACTAACTCACTGAGATACACTTTGAGTACCTTTTTTGAGTGCAAAGATTGCTTCTTGCCTATCAGTAACACAAAATGTATCTCCTTGGGAAAACTGCTCACGAAGCTCACTCCATGCATTAACGACATTGTTGACGTAGAGCAGACTATCAGCAGTTATCTGATTCACTGATTTTTGAAGCAAACTTTGAAATAATTTCTGATTGAAACCCAAGCATCAAAGACGATGTAATCAACAGGTGGTTTAGGGATTCTTCCATCAATAAAGCCCATCGTGTTCTTGCCTAGGCGACATAGTTCCTTTTGTTGAGAACTTGAGAGACCAAAAGCTAGCCCAATTCTCACATGGGTAGATGAATAACAGATTCGATGGACCATAAAGTCCAATAAAGCCCAACCGTTAAGACCGCTAGAATCGTTTGACGGAGGTCGACGAGTGTGCATATCGTGAGAATCAAATACGACATCATCATGTGTAGCTCCTCCATTGAGAGGAATCTCAAAATCCACCATAGGAGGACGAGAGTATAATAAGAGAGTGGAAGGTAAAGAAAAAATCATGAAATTGAGTTAGAAGGGCTTTGATTCTATGTCAGAAGCTCGATAATCTAACAAAGAGAGAGATGATTGGGAGAAAAAAATGAATAGCTTCTTGATTGTAAGGACGATCCATGTGTATTACAGTATGGGGTTTGTGATCCTCAAGTCACCTGAGACTGAATCTGTGATCTGTAACCTTCTAAATCCAACGAAAATGACTTCTCGAAAAATCGTCCAAAATCTTTGATCCCTTTGGAATCTCCCAATAATCGACCCGGAAAAAACCCACAAAAATCGGTGCTTAATAGACTTAATCATCTGTGAAGAATAGCCTCAGACCAAATCCGTGATCCATACCCTTCAAAATCAATGGAAAACAACCTTTTAAAAAAATTGCACATAAATTATGAAAATGCCATCTATAAAGTATTCGCCCAAATCGACGATTAACAGACTTTATCATCGGTGGAGAATAGCCTCAGGCCGCCTCACACAGAATCCGTGATCTCTAGCCTTCAAAATCGAACGAAAAAGGGTATTTTGAAAACATCGCATGAAATCTGTGATAGTACGCCTTTGGAATCTGCATAAAATGGACCCGAAAAAAACCCGCCCAAATCGGGGCTTAATAGACTAATTTATCTGTGAATGATAGCCTCAGACCGAATTCGTGATTTGTAGCCACCAAAATCCAAAGAAAATGGCATTTCAAAAAATTGCCCTAAATCTGTGATGATACCCCCTTTGAAATCTGTCAAAAATGGATCCAGAAAAAATCCGGCCAAATTGGTGCTTAATAAAGTTAATCATCAGTGAAGGATAGGTCAAACTGAATCCGTGATCCGTAGCCTTCAATATCCAAGAAAAACGGCCTTCCGAAAAAATAACACAAATAATTACTAAAATGTCATTCGAAAAAATCCTCTCAAATTGGCAATTAATAGACTTCATCATCGATGAATAATAGCCTCAAGCCGACTCAGGCCAAATCTGTGATCTGTAGCCTCCAAAATTCAATGAAAATGGAGTTTCAAAAAAATCGCCTGAAATCTGTGATGGTGTACCACTTTGGAATCTGCCAAAATGGAGCCGCCCAAATCGGTGTTTAATAGACTTAGCATATGTTTGGCCCGACTTTTAGAAGTGCTTTTCGGCTTCAAAAGCTGAAGCAGGGCCAAACACCTCTAAAAGCTCGCTTTTGAAAAACCGAAAAGCGCTTTTGTATAACATAAAAGCAGAAGCTCCGATTTGGAGCTTCTGCGAAAAGTTGTTTTGAAAATACAAGATTAACTTTACCATATTTTAATTTTATTTTAGAAAATATAATTTTCTTCATTTATATCATTTTAAAAATAAAATATATTATTTAATATAAAAGAAATCTAACAAGATCCATTTTGACTACTCTTTATTGTTTAGAATTTTTATTTTATTTTATATTATAAGTCCTTTATAGTTATTTTATATTAAAAAGCACTTCTAATAGTTTTACAGCCAAACACTAAACTGCTTTTTTTTAAAGTACTTATCTAAAAGCTCCAGCCAGAAGCGGCTTCTGCAAAAGCTATAGCAGGGCCAAACTAAGCTTTAATAATCTATGAATGATGGCCTCAGGCCGAATCCATAATCCATAGCATTCAAAATCCAAGAAAAACGGTCAAAAGAGCACGAAAATTACGAAAGTGCCCTACTATAAAGAATTTTACCCAAATTGGTGATTAATAGATTTCATCATCGGTGCAGATAGCCACATACCGAATTGGTGATCTGTAGCCACCAAGATCCAACGAAAATGGCATTTCAAAAAAATCACTCGAAATCTGTGATGGTACCCTTTCGGACCTGCCAAGAATAGACCAGGTAAAAATCTGCCCAAATCGATGCTTAATAGTCTTCCGAAAAAATCACACGACAAATTACGAAAATGTCTTTCGAAAATAATATGCCCAATTCGGCGATTAATAGACTTCGTCATCGGTGGAGAATAGTTTCATGCCGAATCCTTGATCTGTAGCCTCCAAAATCCAACGTAATTGGATTTTTGAAATAATCACCCGAAATTTGTGATGGTACCCTTTCGAATCTATAAAAAATGAACCCGAAAAAATTCGCCCAAATCGGTACTTTAATAGACTTTATCATCTGTGAAGGATAGACTCTGCACGAATCCGTGATCCGTAGCCTTCTAAATCCAAGAAAAATGGCATTCCGAAAAAATCCGACATAAAATTACGAAAATGGCCTCCGAAATTTTTTGCTCTAATCAGCGATTAATAAACTTCATCATCGGTGTAGAATAAACTTAGACTGTCGTGGGCCAAATTCTTGATCTTCAGCATCCAAAATCCAACAAAAATGACGTTTCGAAAAAATCGCGTGAAATCTGTGATACTCATACTACCACTTTGGAATCTTCCAAAAATGAAACCGAAAAAGATTCGCCTAAATCGGTGCTTAATAGACTTAATCATATGTGAAGGATAGCCTAAAGTAGAATCTATGATTCGTAGCCTTCAAAATCTAAGGAAAACGGTCTTCCGAAAAAATAGTACAAAAAATTACGATAATGCCCTTCAAAGAAGAATCCTCCCAAATCGGCGATTAATAGACTTCATCATCGATGGAGAATAGCCTCAAACCGAATCTGTGATCTGTAGTCTCCAAAATTCAAAGAAAATAGCATGTAGAAAAATTTGCATAAAATCTATGATGGTACCCCTTTGGAATCTG